AAGGGGGTCTGAATACTTTCCGTACCCACTGTATATATATTGTGATCATATATGCTAATATAATTTGCTCTTTATACAGGAAAGAAATATCTTCAACCAGATATTCTGTGGTTTTCTGATGAGAAAGGCCTATGAACTTGGTCGAGCCAATGCCTGTGCGTTTGCGTAAGAGGAAAAATAACTGCTTTCCCTCAAATGTTGAATATTTCTTGTGAAAAATGTTGTTCATTGTTATCACGGCTGTGTTTGTCTTTTTAGTGGGTGCAGACCAACTGTTGTGGCTGTGGATGATATCTTATTTCGTAAGCCAGTAGAAATCGGTTCTTTACTGCTGCTGTCTTCTCAGGTTAGTAACTTTTGCTGTTTCAGCTTATTTTAATGTCATTCACACTAAAAAAATTGTGATCTCTTTATCAGGTTTGTTACACAGAAGGGATGTACGTCCAGGTCAGGGTTCATTCAGAAGTGCTTGATCCTTTGACCCAGCAGCACAACACCACCAATGTGTTTCACTTCACTTTCCGTCTTGAAAAGGATGTCCCAGCTGTTGTCCCACAAAGCTATAGAGGTTACAAATATTTTATTTTTATAAATACATATATTATTATAAATAAGTAATATATTAATCATTATTTGTAGTTATAATATTTTTATGTAATGCAATAAAATATATTTTAAGCAAAATATATAAACTTTTTTTTATGTTCAATTTAAAATGATTTGTAACTCAAATAATTTGGACATCTTCTGAGTCTATGGATGGAAAGAGGCACTTTGATGGGACAATGAGGAACCAGTGTTGAGCATTCTAGGATGAAATACTGTACCTGATAAAGCTTCACTAACATCCATCACTTAAGTTACATGAGTGTGCATATGTAGATTCTGGTTTTATTTTCAAAATGTCTTCCCTACAACTGTTACATGCAGGCATTTGATACATTCAGTAATCAATAATTTAATTTATAAGTTTATATATTTTCTGAAGCACTTTCTATGACATGTTGTTGAAAATGTGAGATGCAAATGTAAAAAACACTGTGACTACAATACTACAATGTGTGACACACTAAAACAACCATCCACTCAATTCTTTGTCTATACGCCATTTTCCCCTTCCTTTTCCATCAGCTCATAACATTGTAGTTCTACACACCCCCCATTTAATTGTGATTTCCAGGCCTGAAAAAGCCATAACAATTTAATAAAATCTTAAGAAGGCACGGACATTTCTATAGCAACTATACATTTCCCTGTTTGCACCTAGCTCTTAGATATTGCATTGGCTAGAAATTGTTTTTGAGTGTTAAAATGCTTATCCAGTAAAACAAGCTACTGGAAAAGTCTTGCAAATTTGGTCAGAAATTGGATAGAGGTGCTCTGACCTTATTCTTTCAGTCAGGGATGCAATTCTTTGAACAGATTTTGTAGTTGCTCAAACTGTCATAATCTTTCAAATAATCTTTACAATGTTTCTGAGTAGTAAAGCTCAGGACGTTGATGCAAAAAAAAAAGTGAAGGGGAGGGTTTGAATGTGTAATTTGCAGTATATTTGGGCAACACTGCAAAATCTCGCGATGGGTGATTTCAGTGCAATTGTTAACATGGTAACCCATATGCTCTCGCGTTATTTCCGCGGCGGGGGGTGAGACAGCATGGCAGCGGCGGTGTTGAGGCACTGTTGGAGAGGACTTTTGCAGAACTCGGGCAATGGAGCTGTCGGCACTATCAGGTCGAAGATTTTCGAAGGTCAGTACAAGTAAACTTATAACAAGCTGCATTTAGATAACAAAAATAGAAGCACCGCTTGTTAAAAACTAGGCAAATGAAGGGGGTGTGGCATGAAAACGCCTGAGGGGAGTGGGATTCTCTGCATTGCACTGCACGTTATCTCCAAAAACTAGAAGGTGTGATAGAAGAGCTCTTTTATACCTTTAAAACTAATGGATGCTGAAAATTCATCTTTGCCATCACAGGAATAAATTACACTTTTAAATATATGTTAAAGTAGAAAACGTTTCTTTTAAAATATAATATTTCTGTTTAATGTTTGTAATGTATTATTTTTTAACACTGAGCACAGTCTTTTGAACACTAGTACAAGAATTGCAGATCTATAAACTCTAAAGCCCTGTAGACGTGTTTATTTGCAGGAGTTAGACTGAAATCTACAGTACAGTACATGTCACTGCCAGATCATCCAAAGCTGGCCTATCGGAGAGTGAAAGGAAAGAGTCCTGGTGTCGTGTTCCTGCCTGGATATGGATCCAACATGAGCGGAGAGAAGGCAGAGGCCCTGGAGGATTTCTGCAGGTCACTAGGTCATGCCTATCTGAGGTTTGTGACTGTTAATCATTCACATATATGTGCAGTGGGGTTCAAATATCTGAGACTCAATGTAAATAATGTAACAAGTAACTGGAATTTTGAAGAAAAATAAATAAATTAACAAATAAATGTTATGAATATGATTTAAGATTATGTATTATCTAGGCCACTAATCAATTATGCAAATTTGTGTCACACGATCATGTGACTGTACAGATGGTCAGATTTTCTTTCTTTGAAGCTAAATAGTCTCTTTGGATCATGAACATGATCATCAGGTTTTATGTAAATTTGTTGAGTTGAAATGGTTAAAAAACAAAACAAAATAGAAGCATTTTCCTTGCTCAGATTTTTTGACTCACTTTATATATTGATGACAATCATGCATAGTTTTATTTTTTAAGAACATACACTGCTTGGCCCAGATTTTTTTTTTTTCAGCAATCAAATGATGACCCACCAGTGTGTGTTGAAGTGCTCTAGGTGAAAGTTCACACAAAGCTCAGATCATTTTATGTGGATTTACAGGTTCGATTACTCTGGTCATGGAGCTTCTGAGGGTGTTTTTTCAGAAGGCTACATTGGAACATGGAAAAAAGACGTCCTATTCATGTTAGATGAACTCGCTGAAGGTCCCCAGGTAAGACTAGAAAGACTGAACCAGCTGGAGAAGTGCCAGCGTTTGTGTTTTTAGAAGACTTTTAAAAAATAAAAATGACTTCTATAAACTGAAATACAGGTGTTATTTCTCATTTTTGAATAGATGTTCAGTGTTTTCTCTTAAAGTCACCATGAAATCAAGATTGAAAATTTTTTATGGAATACTGTAGTGTTTATTATAAATAATTTATCCGTGCACTTCATTATTTTTTAAAAATTCATGTGCCCTAGTAATCTTTAATAAAAAACATTAACCTCCCCTCCCCCTCAAAACGACTCATCTTCTGTTCCGGTCACGAGCTATGGCGCAAGGGCGGAGTTAGTGACGTGTGGGGTAAACGCTGGGATAAACGACGGGGGGGGAAAAGCTGAAGCTGATGCTTCAATTTATAGCACTGACA